ATCTCAGAGTGACCTTACATAATTCCACTGGCTTTTGAGGCTGAATTTTCCTGAAATTTACACCCCAACTTGTTATTTAAACCAGGGGTCTTCAACATTTTTCAATCTGGGACCCCCAAGCTGATAGAGAGAGGGAGCAAGGACCCCCTAAAAATATACAGTATTTTTTCTTTTAGGAGTTGTGTTGCAGAAATATTGCAAACATTACAGCACAAATAGGCTGTCTTACTGTGAACCTGACAGAGCAGATCCCAGTCCTTACAAAATGGATCTGCTCCCTGGTGATGGGACTTCTGGGATCATTGGGATACCCAAACTCCCCTACCATGAAAGGGTAGCGATTCAGATAATTTCATATTTATTTATTTATTTATTTATTTATTTATTTATTTATTTATTTATTGAACTATGTGGGGGGAAACCAGGGGAAGAACCCGTGCAACACAAGGAAGTGTTTGTTATTCTCAAAGACAGAAAGGTATTTTTAATATCTTAAAGTTGATGACTGCTATCCCACTGTTTGCATTCATTTTTTAAAAATGAAATAAACTCTTTCATCATATAACTGAATCATAATAAAGTCATTTTATGCTTCAAGCTGCACAGAGCAGAAAAATTGCATCTTTAAACGTCTTCGGGGTGAGTCAGAAGTCACAGGACACCCTTTTATTTTGATCCAACATGGCAGCGACCATGCTCTGGACATACCCTGTGGGGTGGGGGGGTGGGGGGATATCTATTTGTGTTTTCCTGTTTTAGATCTATGTGCAAGCATGTTTCTGTGTTAGACAGGTGTGGTCATCAGTTTATCTGTTGCCTGTTCTGTGTTTCATGTAACCACATCTTAAACTCCTGCTTTCCTCATGTTCAGAGTGCAGTCATTGTGTGTGTTCACAATTCTGGGTTTTGTTTTTGTTAAACACCTTGAATTTATATTTAACTCCTCAGCACTATCCATTTATATATTTGCTAGATTGATAAAAACTGTTTTTGTTGTTAAAAAATGAACAAACTGTAGATTGAGTATTAATTTAAGTATTTTTAAATTAATTTTTAGATTGTTTTTGTTGTATTATGTTCATCTCTGATGTTAAAAAGTGAACTATGTTCTTAATGAATATCCACCGGCTGTTTGCGCCTTGACAAATTTTCTCTTTTAAGTAGTAGTAGTAGTTTTTTTTGTTTGTTTTTTCTTTCAAATGAAATATATACTTAAAAGAAAAAAAGAAGAAGAAAGGATAAGGGAAAGAAAAAAAACATTTTGCTTGATGACCTTAAGAATGCTGGAACGATTTATTAATTAAGTGGAAAGCTAAAAGTTATTTTTTTATGGGATATGAACAAAATATTGGTTAAGATTTGTATTTGTGTTGTGATGCTGTTTGTTGATTATTTGAAATTATATTGTGTAGTAAGTTGAGTTTTTTATTCGTTTGTTGTACGTTTTTTTTAGACACGTATATTTTTTTAATTGGGGGCAGATGTTATAAGATTTTATTCTTCTTTCTGCTCCTTTTCATTTGACTACGTTGTGATTGTGTTTTTGACACTATGTTGTATTATTTGTTTGCTCTTTTATTATTTGTTTGTTTTATTATTTTTTGATTGTTGAATGAAATAAAGTATTTTTAAAAAATTACAATATCAGCATTTCTCGTGTCATTCTAATGACAGCAGAGCACCAAATAACCTCAGCGCCAGTCGAGGTCACAGGTCAGCTGTCAGACTGCAGTGAATGAGGACCTCTGAAACCGGCTTACCGATGCTGTCCGTGTGAGTCATGCATTTCCCGGGCACACAGTACCGCCACAGGCCCTGGTGCATGTAGCTGCCGGAGTGACGATACTGCATCCAATAGTCCGTTGCTGTGGAGATAATCAGGAGTATGTTCCCCACTCCAGCACAGAACAGCCCACCTCCCATGAAGCTGTACATCCTGCCAAAATACACTGACACACACACACACACAAAAAAGAAAACAGAGGAGGGAGGGGGAGAGAAAACCCCCCCAACAGGTCAGAGCCTGAACTGACTGCTGCTGCTGCTCCACCAATTACAGCAGCAGAGGGTATGAATAAAACAACGGGATGAATTCAGGGGAAAGGCCGGAGTTCGACAGATCTGATAGGAGAGGCATCACTCATTAGTCAACGTGCAGAAGCAGACAGCTCGGCCTAACAAGTCGTTAACCTTTAACACAACCAGATGGAGCTGTTTTTACACACAAACACACACATTTAGCACCGGCGAGGGAGTCAGGAATACCAACCGTGACTAAACAGGGTGGAAAATGAGCTCAGGAATATTCTTCCTGCTAGATTCAGTGATGCATCTATAATATACTGCAGTATTGTTTGAATATTTCATACAAATAAAACTTTTCTGGCTTTGCTTTAAGGAGAAAATCACAATTAAAAAAAAGCTGACTGTGATGTATATTTAGCATTTTTATAAAACAGCATTTTGTACACGTTACTTACCTGTATCTTGTTTATTTCTTTGGAAAAAGTCAGAGAATCCAATGATCGGAGTGGCCGGAGAGCAGAGGAGCCCAAATATTGCCCAGGATGGCAGGAAAGTTTTGTTTGTGTTCAGGAAACGGAGCGAACAAACGGCCCGTTGGAACAAAGGAGCGCGCTGAGCCACGACCAATCACAGACGATGACTTTTTGTGTTTAAGAGAATCTGCTGAAAATACAAAACCTGTCAAAGTAATACTGATGACTCGGGGCTTTTCATTCAAAACACCTCACAACCTCACACAGTAAACTCCTGACCTGCAATAAGCTGAACCACAGGACTGCAGGTTAGAAAAACGAGAGGGGTTCATGTCATTTTGAGTTATTAAAACATTTCTCTGGCAGTATTTGTCTTCACCAATCCATGACCAGACTTAATCTTCTTCTTCTTCTTAATTATCTTTAATAAGCCAAATTGATCAATTCGTACAGAATCAATCCAGCATTTTTCTTCTCAGACATGATGAAGAATTCACAAAATGACTAAATATCAGAGCTTAAATCCATTGATTCTCATATTTTTCAGGTTTGTTTGGTGCTCAGAGATTACTTATTTCCCAACAGAAGTGGTCATTTATGAATAAAAACAAATAATACTGAAATTAAATTTAGTAAAAAAATAATAAAAATTTCACAAGAATATGAATAATTTGGCAAGACAGCATGTGAGTAAAAACATAAAGCGAGTTTGTGAAAAAAACCTGAAAAAATAAAACAGATTTGTTTTTGGTTTGACACCCTGTGCAAAGAATGAGGTGTTCAGCGTGATGTGTATTTACAGCAAGTAAAATAAGTATTGAACATGTCAACATTTTTCTCAGTAAATATATTACTAGAGGTGCTAATGACATGAAATTTTCACCAGATGTTGGTAACAACACAAGTGATCCATACATACAAAGAAATCAAACCATAAATGTCCAGAAATGAAGTTATTTGTAATAATGTGGAATGGCACAGGGAAAAAGTATTGAACACACTTACTGAAATTTATCTAATACTTTGTACAAAAGCCTTTGTTGTCAATGACAGCTTCAAGACGCCTCCTGTATGGAGAAACTAGTGGCATGCATTGCTCAGGTGTGAATTTGGCCCATTCTTCCACAAACAGTCTTCAAATCTTGAAGGTTTCGTGGACCTCTTCTATGAACTCTGATCTTTAGTTCTTTCCATAGATTTTCTGTTGGATTCAGGTCAGGTGATTGGCTGGGCCATTCCAGCAGCTTTAGTTTCTTTCTCTGAAACCAACTGAGAGTTTCCTTGGCTTTGTGTTTGGGCTCATTGTCTTGCTGAAATGTCCAGCCACGTTTCATCTTCATCATCCTGGTAGATGGAAGCAGATTTTTATCAAGAATGTCTCTGTACATTTTTCCACTCATCCTTTCTTCAGTTATTTGAAGTTTGCCAGTACCATATGCTGAAAAACAGCCCCACACCATGATGTTCCCACCTCCAAACTTCACTGTTGGTATGGTGTTTTTGGGCTGATGTGCAGTGCCATTTGACCTCCAAACATGATGTGTATTCTGGCATCCAAACAGTTCAATGTTGGTCTCATCTGACCAGACTATATTCTCCCAGTATTACACAGGCTTGTTTAAATGTTGTGCAGCAAACTTTAAAGGAGCTTCAACATGCTGTTTCTTCAGCAGTGGAGTCTTGCATGGTGAGCGTGCATACAGGCCATGGTGGTTCAGTGCATTACTTATTGTTTTCTTTGAAACAAACGTACCTGCTAATTCCAGGTCTTTCTGAAACAAGTGGTCCTTGGCTCTTGGACAACTCTTCTGATAATTCTTTTCTCTCCTCTGTCAGAAATCTTGTGAGGAGCACCTGGTCGTGGTCGGTTTATGGTGAAATAATGTTCTTTCCACTTCTGAATTATGGTCCCAACAGTGCTCACTGGAACCTTCAGAAGTTTAGACATTCTTCTGTAACCGATGACATCATTATGCTTTGCAACAATAAGGTTGTGAAGGTCTTGAGAGAGCTCTTTACTTTTACCCATCATCAGATGGTTCTTGTGTGATACCTGGCCATCATTTGGGATTGAACCAGCTGATATTAACTTGCACTGACAAGGGGCAGGCTTGCTTTCTAATTACGGAGAGAGTTCAGCTGGTGTCTTGGCTTTCCATGCCTTTTTACACCTCCCTTTCTTCATGTGTTCAATACTTTTTCCCTGTGCCATTCCACATTATTACAAATAACTTTATTTCTGGACATTTATGGTTTGATTTCTTTGTATGTATGGATCACTTGGGTTGTTACCGACATCTGGTGAAAATTTCATGTCATTAGCACCTCTAGTAATATATTTACTGAGAAAAATGGTGACGTGTTCAATACTTATTTTACCTGCTGTATATTAAATGTGTAAAAATTATACAAAAAAACTTGGAGTACATGGTTTAAGATTTTTTTAACGTGAGCATCATTTTAGAAATGAGGTTTGAAAAAATCCTGCTTTCTACGAATGCCTTTTATTTCACATATTAATACATATTTCGAAGCGGGTGATTGTTGACAATATTTTGCCATGATATTTTATTCATCCTAAAATATTATTTGAAATGAGCTTTCAGGCTCCTCACAAAATAGAAAATTTAACTTACCTCTGATATTGCAAGTAGAATTAGTTAATTTTGCTCAAGTTAAAAAAAATAAAAGAATTAAAAAATGTCCCCTTAATTGTCTTTAAATGTTTAAAGACAGGAACTGAACCGTTTTTGACCACTGGTGGAACAAAGACTGTTAAGGTGTTCATGATATCAAAACTGATACAGTCAGAAAGAAAATAACAAGATCTCAAGAGATCAAAGAAAGTGAAAGATCAGAAAAAGTTCAGTTAAGTACAAAGACACGATTGATAAAAAAAAAAACAAATAAACAAACAAACTGCAGATTAGGAGCTGTAAACTAGTCTAAAACCAAATTTACTTCTTCGAATCAGTTATAAAAAACTACTTTTACTGGAATTCTTATGCCTTTAAAGATAATTCTCTCAACACAAACTGTTTTTCAACCTGATACGACAGACAGGAACAAACAGGATTTCCAGCTTTATCTTTATTTATCAGACAAATATTAAACTGATACACATATGACCCTGTGTAGAAATAAATATTTCCAAAGCAGTGACCTCGACATGCTCACCCTTTACTCAGATTCTATTTATTCAAGAGTAGAGGTGTGGAAAATCCTTATTTTGTTCAAAACAATCCACAACTGGGTTATTTGTTGCAGAATGAAATGTATTAAAAGAATTGGGATCCTAAAACAAAAACTTCTGCCTTTTTTTCAGTCCAGTCTTTATGATGATCTTCTCCACATCAGATGTGTTCTGCTCCTGCTGAACAAAGAGCAAAACAACATCCAGGAGTCTCTCTGTTTGTCTCACTTTAGGCCACTAGATGGCGCTTTTCATTTGTTCTTGAGAAAACCTGATTCAGCTCCTGGGTTTACTCCTGTTTTTTTAGTTAGTTAACAACAGATGAAATGAAAACCTCCAAGAATTATTCTCACCTGTTTCTGTTTTTATCAGTCAATGAGTTTCGATCTATTAAGCTTTAAAAATATTGGGTTTTCCTTAAAATTCTTCATTTTTTCTTTGCTTCATGTCAGATTCAATTATTATCTCCTTTGTTATTTGGAAAGAAGGAAATTACAGAATTTAAATAACCTTAAGCTGAAGTTTAATTGAAACAAATGATTTTGTCGATATAAAGAGAAAAACAAAACAAATCTCAAGGACCATGTTTATTTCTGCAACTCAGCACATTAAAAGCCTGACCGGTTGAATATTTTTACATATTAATTTAGGATGGGTAGAAAAGTATAATATAGCCTTTACCAGGTACATACTTACTGGTACATACCTGCCCTTTTCCCCTTTACTTATTAGTAAATAATGTGTACCTACCTGGCATGTAACTATGTACAACTTGGGTACAAGGTAATGCAACAGATAAGTACCACGTACATACCAGTTTAGTACTATGTACATACAATATCTGGTACGTATTGGATAAGGAACATTAAGTACCAGATATATATCATGTAGGTATCAGGTATACCAGGTTAGTATTTGGTACATACATAGAACGTTTCAGATAAGTACATGGCACAAACATGACAAGTACTTGGTACACACCAGTTCTATATGAGGTATGTACCCAGTAAGTACCAGGTATATACCAGATTAGTACTGGTAGGTATAAATGCATTAACTACCTGTTACTTATTGGGTAGGTACATACCAGATTAGTACTTTTGCATGTACACAGTAAGTGCCAGATAAGTACATACATGAACAGTACTTGGTTTGTACCAGTTATATTCCAGGTGCATTAACAGAAATATACAGGCTAAATGCCAGTTATGTACCAGGTAGCTTACTCTGTAAGTACCTAGTAAGCACCCAGTACTTAGCGGGCTTTATTATGTATTGTTACTAGAAAGCACCATTGGACACAGAAACATTTGTCTTGTTTTGTAGCTCCATTACCGCAACTGATTTATAGTACTGTGTTGAAGTGAATCCTAGTGTACATTTGTCAAAAACAGAGAGAAAATTAAATATTTAACATTTTTTAAAAGATAATAAACTGTCTGTGTACCTTTGTTGACTGGCCTCAGCAAGTCTTTATCTGGTCATGCTTAATCTGTCAGAACCACAGAAATTCTGATCCGTGCCTCTGTGAACGCGTCAAAGCATAAATTTGTCGAATCTCTTCCAACCGCTAAAACCGTCCAATTGCACCGGATTACCATTATCCTTGTAGTCTGATGAGACCTGTGGGGTTTTAGCTAAAATCAGTGGTTTCCACTGTAACCGAACGCCTTCCATGTAAAAATGTTGTAGCTGGTGCTTGGACTAATAAGATCAGCACCCAGAAGGCTCATACAGCGGATGACATGAGGAAAAAGCCTTTCATATCCCTCTGCTGTCATGTTTCAGCAGCTGTACAGTCAGATGAAGGCTTCTCCCGCTCATTAAGCCTCGTTCAAAACCAAGTAGGCTCCCAATGCAGCAAACTGAGGAAGGCATCAAATCATACCTGCTATCTTGTAGCAGACAAGCAATATAATACAACCAACTCTGAGTTGTTGCTTTTTTTCCCCAGACCTCAGGGTCATTTAGCTCTGGTAGAGAAAAAAACGTTAGCTCAACCTTTCTTCTCTTTTTCACAGACTGTTCCCAATTATTTCTCCAGCAAAGCCTCTGAATCACCACATCACAGAGGAAGGGAATTCTCGCGCACTTTTTCCCAACACAAAGAGGTTTCTCAGTTATTTTACATGTATTTAAGGCACCGCTCAACATTATTCAAGAAAACTTTAAAGAGATTTTGTTTGCAAACAGAAACCAAGCTAACAGGTTTTTGCTACTAAGCGAACATGCTAACGCATTCATGCAACAATGTTAATACAGTGTTAATATTTGTTAATAGCCTCCTATCAGACAAATTATTTAACCCTATGCCGCTTCTCATTTTGCTGAACAACCACACTGAAAGACACATCCACCAAAATTTGGTGTGGTAGTAGCTGAGCATCAGTGCTTCGGCAGCACATACTTTCAGTTGCATTGACCCTTGAGAAAATGTCTCATAAACTACTAAATAATTATTCATTTGTGGTTGTTTTTATATAAGATTGTTTAAGTACCATCTAAAATTAGTCTTGAAGCATGCGTTGTTGTTTTTGATACTCTTACAAATCAAACAAAAAGTTCCCCTAATGAAATGTGCCTCCATATCAGGAAGTAACTGCCTTTTAATGGGTTTATATTTTCAGACCTGATAAATAAGTTTCTTTAAAAATTGGTCGTAGAAATTGGTCAACCGATCAATCAGCAACCCTCAGTTTGTGAAATCTGAGAAAGGTAGCTGGAAGGAAGTGTGTGGATCTGAGATTGTTGCTCTCCTCCCTTACAGCTATGTGTCAGATAAGCAGCCGCTGATAAACAGATATATGAGGTTTCCAAACTCATAAAAAAATCATTCAACGACACTTCCTTCCCCGTCGTATCTCCACAGACCGGCGCCTCTTGTTTCTGCATAACTGAACTCCCCAATGTGCAACCGTCTTTGTAATGAGCTTTACGCTCTGTAATGTAACCCCACTATTAAACGTGTGCATGTTTCCTGCTGACAGTCTGATCACGTCCTGCATTAACGTTCTCTGTCACTTGACAAAAAGCCTCTCTGCTGCTTTCTTTTTTGCCATACAAATCACGCCGATGCACGAGATCGCTGTCGAAAGTGGTGTCACTTCTTCCAGACTTTTATTTACTGATGTTTCCCTCCACAGATATGTCACTTAGTTCCCTGGCTGCATGTATACGCTGACACTAATGCGGTGCTAATATTCAGAATAAACAACCTGATTGGACGAGATTCAGTCAGAATCAATTTTCCCTGCAAACCATCTGATTATAAGCTTGATGGGAAAATTATAAACACATAGAAGCTCAGCCTGATTGTTCCAGGTTGGAATAATGATCACCTCACAAGGGGAGAAGGATTACTGGAGTCATTTTCAACAGAGACCAAAGCAAGATGGCCACCTCTCAGGATTATGTGTTTATAGATTATTGTGTGTAATTTCTCTGACTACATTTGCGTCATGATGAAGTTGTGATCCGGTTTGATCTTCTCAATGGGCTGTGAAGATCCTCTTACACACTTCGCTGAATCACTGAAAACAATTTGATCATTTTCAGCCGTTTATTACACAAGAATGAGTCAATAGAACTCATTTAATCACAACACGCATCTGTGCAAAACAAACCAGAAAAAAATAAATAAATCTGCAGTTGTGTTTGACTCATTTATTGAGGCTTTTCTTTTTAATTTGCCACCCATCTGCTTAAAACCAGCTCATCCAACACAAATTAAAAGGGATAGTTCAGTTCATTTGAAGAAGGGTTGGGTGAAAATGCTATGAGCAATCAATATCTTATTTGTTGTGATCAGCTCTTTGAACTCCCTCGGTTTGGAGAAACATTTAAATTCCTCTCCTTACTTTTAACTCAGAAAAAAAGGGTAAATTAAATGTCTGAATTTCCTAGGATGTAATGGGTGAGGGGATCTATCTTTTAGGCTAAGTCAAAAACAAGGCCGCCATCTTGAAAGCCGCCATATTAGATCCAAATTAGCACATTCCTGCAGCACATTAAACACGTCAAAGAACAGGCAATATTCCCTGTCATTGTTGCAACTTTCTGTGTTGATAACTTTAGAACCACCGTGGATATTACAAACCTGACTGAGGCAATCCATTCCTCAAACAGTTCCGGTCTTCTATGATATATGACGCCTTTCCCATTGGAAAAATTGGACTTTGATCCAAGATGGTGGCCATGCCCCAATCATAAAAGAAAGGACCCCTCACTTATTATCTGCTGTGGTATTTAAACGTTTCATTTCTCCTCTTGTTTCTGAAATAAAAGGGTGTCCCAATACTTCTGTAAATATAAATATATATTTTTATTTATGCAGCAGGATTTCTCTATGGTCTGGGTCCTACTTGGTTCAGCCGTTTCCTCAGAATTAAAATTGTATTCATCCAAAACTTAGGCAGTTCTAAAGGTCCTGTCACACTACACGACTTATGTCAACTTATGAAACATTTTTATGTCTAAATTGCTAATAAAAGTTATATATTTGATCAATTTATTCCAATTACATTATGTAAACACCAAAAAGAAGCTTCCTGTTGATTTTTTCAATTCCATCAATGTATAGTAATGTCTTTAAAACAGTGCTGCAGTGCTGGCTCTAGCCATTTTGGTGCCCTAGGCGAGTTGAAGCCCCCCTCTCCCGAACTATGTCCCACCCACCCCAATTTGAACCCCTAAAAACAAGTTTGACAGTGTCAGGTATTATGGTAAACTTAGATTTATTTGTTTTAAACACAAACATATACCACACAACAAATTAAATGAATAAATAAAGTAAATATAATTAAATCAAATTAAAAGGGTAAACAAAAGACCCTGTTCACAATTTGTGCAAAGATTTAGAAGGTCCTCTCTTTTTGGAAAATATAAGTCTGATTTTACCTCATAAAGTCCTCTGCTGACAAACTCAGTCCTCAGTGTGTCAGAATGGTTGTTAGCAGGATCAACGGGCTGCTTTGATGTCAACCCGAGAGGCACTACTAGCACCTCACCCATCAGAGTGTCGGAGCAGGACGAGTCAGTGCAACGTCAGTCAAATGAGAGAGAGGGTGGGGGCGATTGTTGCATTGGGGGCAGAAAATGTTTTATGGGTATTTTATTTTTCCTGTAAAACTTCATTATCGTTTTTTAAGACAAAGCTAATTGAAAGGGGCGCTGAGCAGATTTACAACCAGGGATTACAAATAATTACTTTTTTTCTTCTGCAGTTTGGCGCCCCCTCCAGCAGATGGCGCTCTAGGCGGCCGCCTAGTTCGCCTATGCCAAGAGCCGGCTCTGCTTTAAAATTTTCCCTAAGTTGGCATAAGTTGTCTAGTGTGACAGGGCCTTAAGAGCTATCTGGGAGGTAAGATGTTAAATATTCACAAAACTGCTTAAATTTTTTCAAATAAGAGCTCCTAAAAACTAAACCAAAACTTTCAGCCTGCAGATAATCATCACCAAAACTCAACTGAACAAACTTTGAGTGAAAATTCCTGATAAAAGAGCAACATTTTGAATTTAGACGCCGCGTCATATCAGCTTAGTTATAAAGCATGATTTTACTTTTATTTTTTTGTGTTCTTGTTTTTTATAAACTTGAGCATCTAAACTTTGTGGAAACTTTTCACTCTGAGTGAAGGCGGCAGACCAGCTGACGTGAAAAGACAGGCTGGTGCTGCCATCAGTAGAGTCCTGCTGCGAAACACAACAATCACAGTTAGTTCAACACACACACACACACACACACACACACACACACACACAC